CTCTTGTTACCCAGGCTGGAGTGCAATGGCGCGATCTCGGCTCACCACAACCTCCGCCTCCTGGGTTCAGGCAATTCTCCTGCCTCAGCCTCCTGAGTAGCTGGGATTACAGGCACACGCCACCATGCCCAGCTAATTTTTTGTATTTTTAGTAGAGACTGGGTTTCACCATGTTGACCAGGATGGTCTCAATCTCTTGACCTCGTGATCCACCCGCCTTGGCCTCCCAAAGTGCTGGGATTACAGGCTTGAGCCACCGCGCCCAGCCTACACCTGGCTAATTTTTGTATTTTTCGTAGAGACAGGGTTTCACCATGTTGTCCAGGCTGATCTCAAGCCCCTGACCTCAGGCGATCCACCTGCCTCGGCTTCCCACAGTGCTGGGATTACAGGCATGAGCCACCACCGCACCGGACCCCTCTCCCCTCTTTAGGGCTGCCCATCCTCCTTCCTCCTAATGTCCCTTCCAGAGGGCTGAGAGCTCAAAATCTGACTCCAGCCACTTCTCTCCACCTCCTCAGCCTCCACTCTGGTTCCAGCCACCAGGGTTTCACCCTTGGACCACTAAAGTCACCTCCTCACCAGCTCCTTCCCTATACCTTCGCCCCCTAGAAGTCTGTCCCTACACTAAGTCCTCATGTCCCTCCTCTGATCAGAGCTGGTGGGTGGCTCCTGGCTCAGAGGGAAAGTCAAAGCTGTTACCATGACCCACAAGGCTCTAGATCTGTCCCTGCTCCTTGCCTCAGGGACCACACCTTCTACCACTTCCCCCTAGCTTTCTCTGCTCCAGCCCCACTGGACTTCGGCTGCTCTTAAACGTGGCAGGCTTCCTCTGACCTCAGGGCTTCTGCACTGGCTCTTCCCTCCACCCCAGATGTCTGCCTAGCTCACTCCTTCACCTCTTTCATGTCTCTGCCAACATGTCACCTCCTCAGGGCCCTCCCTTGACCTTCCTGTCTAAAGTAGGAAAGGGCCGGGCATGGCGGCTCACACCTGTAACCCCACACTTGGGAGGCTGAGGTGGGCTGATCACTTGAGGTCCAAAGTTCGAGACCAGCCTGGCCAACATGGTAAAACCCCATCTCTACTAAAAATACAAAAATTAGCCGGGCGTGGTGACATGCGCCTGTGGTCCCAGCTACTCCGGAGGCTGAGGCAGGAGATGCTTGAAACGGGGAAGCAGAGGTTGCAGTGAGCCAAGATCACGCCACTGCACTACAGCCTGGGTGACAAAGCCAGACTCCGTCTCAAAAAAATAAATAAGTAGGAAGGTCCTCTCCCCCATCACGCCCTATATCCTTAGCTTACTTTCCTTTTCTTTGTAGCCAATACTCATCACCAATTGATTGTTTTCCCTTAGGAAGGAGATTTCTCTCTCTTTTTTTTTTTTTTTTGGAGACAAAGCCCTGCTCTGTCTCCCAGGCTGGAGTGCCTGGCCAGATCTCAGCTCACTGCAACCTCTGCCTCCCAGGTTCAAGCAATTATCCTGCCTCAGCCTCCCAAGTAGCTGAGATTACAGGCACCTGCCACCACACCTGGCTTTTTTCTTCTTTTTTTTTTAATAGAGACCATGTTTCGCCATGTTGGCCAGGCTGGTCTCGAACTCCTGACCTCAAGCAGTCCACCCGCCTTGGCCTCCCAAAGTGCTGGGATTACAGGTATGAGCCACTGCGCCTGGCCAATTTTTGTATTTTTAGTGGACACAGGGTTTCACAATGTTGAAATGATGAGATCTTGGCTCACTGCAACCTCTGCCTCCCAGGTTCAAGCAATCCTCCTGCCTCAGCCTCCCAAGTAGCTGGAACTACAGGCATACGCCACCACGCCTGGCCAATTTTTGTATTTTTTGTAGAGACAGGGTTTCACCATGTTGGCCAGGCTGGTCTGGAACTCCTGACCTCAAATGATCCACCCGACACGCCTCCCAAAGTGTTGGGATTACAGCCATGAGCCACGGCTTCGGGCCTTTAAGAAGATTTCAATATTGCCAGGTCCTTTCATTTACCAAAATTTGTGTAAAGTACAGATTTGTTTTTTAATTGCAAAACCTGACAATTTTTAAACACGAGCAATAAATTCATGTCTTGAAAAATCAGGGTGCTGGCCTTGTAAAACACATCAGGGGCTACCTGCTGAATGTCAGTTTCTGGCCGCCGCCTTAGCCCTCTCTTAGAACCACCCTTCCATTTCACAGATGGGGAAGGTGGGACCTGTGGAAGGCCAAGGACTGTTTTCCCAAGTCGACCGTGGCCCCCAAATCCACTAACCCACACCCTGGTCCCACAGGGCCCCTCCTATCCTCTTCCTCCTAACACCCCCCAGCCTCCCAGGGGTCCCGCATCTCCTTGTCCTACCACTGCAGGAGGGACCGCATCCTCCTCGAGGGGTATCACAAATTTCTTCCTTGCTGGCGGCCCTGCGGGCTGGGGCACTCCCTCCTTGTCCTTCCCAGGGTCCATCTGGAGCCTGAAAGGGAAGGTGCCAGGAGCGAGTGAGCCATCGGCGTCTGCGTTCTCATCCCCTACCAGGAACCCCCACTCACAGCCGTCCCAACAAAACTCCCAGAGCTCCTTAGCGTCAAGCCCCAAACACCTAGCGCCCGAGGCTCTATAAAGCCCCGCCCCTTTGACCTACACCTTCGGCTCGCCCCGCCCCTTACAGGTCCACAAGTCCCATCGCTCCGCCCCTCGCCCCCACCGTCCACCGCCTTCCGTTCGCCCGGCCCCCAGGGCTAGCATCTGGACGCCCTCCCAACGCCTGGCCTTGTCCATCTCTCAGACTCAGCAATGATTGGCTTCCGCGGCTGCCAATCTCCACCCGCAGTCTTCGCCTCCCGCCCCTCTTGTCCAAGACTGGCGGGTTCCGCACCGCAAGGCCTCCCTCACCTGCGGTTCTTGGAGCCTTAGGGGAAAGGCTGGAGGAGGATCGAGGCGGCCCACCGCCAGCTCGGCCAGCGCGGCCCAGGGCTCGCCGCACTTCCGGCCTCTCTGGCCCCGCTCCCCAGGAGAGTAGAGCATACAGCGAGGCGATCGCTGTGCAACTCTCTATGGTCCTGGAGGACCGCGGAGGTCGTGGGAGAAGACAGGTGTAACCTCAGAGGCTCTGGCTCCCAAACTGTTCAGTTCCAAAGCCCTTATTGAGCGCTTCTGTGTGCCCAGGCCCCGGGCAGGACTTAGTAGAGAAGAGATCACAAGAGATCCAACTTGGTCCCTCCTCTCAGTGCGGAGAGACTTAAGTTTGAATCCCAACTTAGCCATTGACTTGACCTCAGTTTCCCCATTCATTCATTTACTCCACACCTATTCCCCCCGCGCGCTTCCTCTCTTCCCGGTCCTGTGCGAGTCCGTGCTGGTGACACAGCAGTGACCAACGACAGCCCCGTGTAGTCCTCCCGGAGCTTACTTACGGTTTAGTTTAGGGACACAGACATCACAAACCGTGTTGACCTAGAATGGGTAGGTCTGGGATGGGAGATCCCGGGAGAGCCGTAGGAAGGGGGTCAGGGAGAGCGCCTGACTCAGCCCCGGAGTCCGGAAGGGCTTCCTGGAGGAAGGGACATCTGAGCAGGGGGGCCTGGCTGATGAGTTAGTATTAGTCACTTCCTGAAAGGATAGTATCACACTGTTCTGACTTGCAACTCTCTGATTACTCAGGAAATGGAACGTTTCTGTGAATGTATTGGTCTTATAAATTATGTCTTCTGTGAATTGCTTGCTGATATTCCCTGTCCATTTTTAAAATGGGTTGTGTGCCTTTTTTATTACTACTAATTTGTAGGAGCACTTTATGGATTCTGATTCTAATCCTTAGTTCCATATATTGCAAACATTTCCTCCTAGTTTGTACTTCGGGTTTTAAAGTTTAGTTATTTTTGGCACAGAAGTTATTTGTGTTTATGTGAAACTATTTATCAATCTATTCCGTTCTGACTTTTGTTTTGGTGTGTTGTTTAAGAGCACTGCCATAATCCAGGGTCATAATGATATATTCTATCGTTTCTTTTATCTATGTAAAAGATAAAAGCCCCGTGTTGTCTTCCTGGAGCTTACGGTTCCATGAGGGACGTAGACATGTTCCCAAACCATGATGATCTAGAATGAGCAGGTCATCTGTCCTTAATCCATGTAAGATTTATTTATTTATATATTTTTGAGACGGAGTTTTGCTCTTATTGCCCAGGCTGGAGTGCAATGGCCTGGTCTGGGCTCACTGAAACCTCTGTCTCCTGGATTCAAGCAATTCTCTTGCCTCAGTCTCCTAAGTAGCTGAGATTCTAGGTGTGCCACCACCACACCTAGCTAACTTTTGTATTTTTAGTAGAGATGGAGTTTCACCATGTTGGCCAGGCTGGTCTTGAACTGCTGACCTCAGGTGATCTGCCCGCCTCAGCCTCCCAAAGTGCTGGGATTACAAGTGTGAGCCACTGTGCCTGGCCAAGATTTATCGTTGAAAGTCCACCGGGCACAGTGGCTCATGCCTGCAATACCAGCACTTTGGGAGGCCAAGGCGGGTGGATCACTAGGTCAGGAGATTGAGACCATCCCGGCCAATATGGTGAAATCTCTTCTCTACTAAAAATACAAAAAACAATTGGCTGGGTGTGGTGGCATGCACCTGTAGTCCCAGCTACTCGGGAGGCTGAGGCAGGAGAATCGCTTGAACCCAGGAGGCAGAGGTTGCAGTGAGCTGAGATCGCGCCACTGCACTCCAGCCTGGATAACACTGTGAGACTCCATCTCAAGGGGAAAAAAAATGCACCTAGGTAGTGGTTTATGAGTGATAGAACCAATTGTCTCAAGTTAACCAAAGGTAGATCTTTTCTCCACTATTCTGAAATTTTGCCTTTATCCCAGAGCAAATTCCCATAGACAAACAAGCCTATTTCTGACGTTTCTGTGCTGTTCATTGATCTTTTTATTTGTTATTTCCTGCATGTGCGTGACCATCCCTCTGTTTCCTTCACATCAATCTTTCATCGATGGATGTGTGTCTCTGTGTCTACATTAAACCCTGTCTCTACTAAAAACACAAAATTAACCGGGTGTGGTGGCACGTGCCTATAATGCCAGCTACTCAGGAGACTAAGGCAGGAGAATTGCTTGAACCTGGGAGGTGGAGGTTGTGGTGAGCTGAGATTGTGCCACTGCACTCCAGCCTGGGAAACAAAAGTGAAACTCTGTCTCAATTAAAAAAAAAAAAAAAAATTTAGGCCGGGCGCGGTGGCTCAAGCCTGTAATCCCAGCACTTTGGGAGGCCGAGGCGGGTGGATCACGAGGTCAAGAGATCGAGACCATCCTGGTCAACATGGTGAAACCCCGTCTCTACTAAAAATACAAAAATTCAGCTGGGCATGGTGGCGTGTGCCTGTAATCCCAGCTATTCAGGAGGCTGAGGCAGGAGAATTGCCTGAACCCAGGAGGCGGAGGTTGCGGTGAGCCGAGATCGCGCCATTGCACT